GTTGAAAAAATAGAGGAATTGGACGTGTGGCGTATTACACCTGTCGGTCTTACTAGGGGTGGACAAAATTTTCCAACCCAGCCCCAAACCGACCTATCCAAAGGACCTGAAAATATGCGGGTCGGGTTATCGGGTTAACTATTTGAAAAAAAAAAGGTTCAAATGGGTTTAAGTTTGTGGTCGGGTTGTGATTTTTTATATTGTAGAATTTTTTTTTTGTCGAATTTGGCTTATGCAGCCTCAACAACACTAGTAGAAACATCAAAAACACTAATGTGCATAGTTTTAAATAATGTTTGCGGTCCGTAAAGAATTTTGCGATTTCGGTTTGTGAGTAATATATATATATATGCTTGTGTGAAAGACTTTCATGCTGGTTTAGATCATGTTTTAAATTGTGTCTAGAAGCCATTGTTGCGTATCTGACTCACAACACTCACATATGAGCCCAGAGTTACTGCTAACAGATAATACGGAGTTTATTGTCAAATGCGGCTGATGCAGCCTCAATTGTGTCACGAAAACATCAAAGACCTTGATGTGGTGGCCACAATTCCTGATTTGATCTCCTTGTAAATGTTAATAATAGTTGTGACAGTGAGGTTTGAACCTAGGAGGCCATAATTCCTGGTTTGATCCTCTTGTAAATGTTAATAGTAGTTGTGACAGTGAGGTTTGAACCGATGTGTTTATGCATACTACTTGCGTCCCTCACCGCTACTAACAGAGTCTCAGTGGCTTAGATTTTGTTTTAATCTGATGATTTCTTATTTGACATAGCTTCCTTTTGGTTCTCAAGGATTTAGGAATTTCAACAATATCGAAAAAATTGACTGAAATTGCAAGTCCAGCAAAGAAGTCTGCTGTAAGCTTTCATTTTGATTTGGTTTTAATCAATAAGGAACCAGCGTTCCTTCCTAAATGGCCACTACCATCCGCTGGTATGCTAGTAGAAGCATGGATCGACAAGAAAGTTAAAGGTACTCTTATTTCCGCTTTCTTCTCATTTCTCTTCAATTTAGGTTGTGAGCATTTTGGTGTTATGGACATGTTTTTTAGTACATATATATGATTTCTCTTCACTTTTCTCATTCAAACAAGTATTATATCTCACATATCACATCACTGTTTTAGCTTAACTAATAACAGAAAATATATAGTTAGTTAGTTACATAGTAAGTAAAGTAACTCTAGAATATCAGAATGTTTCAGTAACTCTAGAAAAATGAAGAGAAATGTAATTAACTTTGAGTTACTCTAGCAGTAAGTAATCGATTTTGAGTAACTGATTTTGAGTTACTCTAGAATATCAGTAAGTAATTGATTTTGAGTTACTCTCAGAAACTGTAATTACACTTATACCTAAATCTTTAGAGTTTTTATTATTTTCTGCTATATTCATGGGACTAAACAATGTTAAACAGAAAAGATTGAGTGATCAGAAACAACAGTATCATGACAGCCGGGTTTCGAAGAGTGGTAGACATGTTGAATTCCTTTTTCCTTTCCTCTATCTGGACAGGTAGCAAATAGTTTATTGGTAAGTTGGAACATCATTAAGTTTGGTTGAATGGAAAGGGGGAGTACATTAATTTGTGGTTGGACAATTGATGTGGTCAAAGATCGGTTAATATTATGCAAATTCCTTCGAATATGCATAATAATTTGAAGGTTGAGCTGAATAAAATCATTGAGGAAAACTCTATAATTATGCCTCAATGCTTTGTCCAGAACTGTCCTACTCTGCCGCTTTGTCCAGAACTGTCCTACTCTGCCTCAGCTTACTGTAGAGGAGTTCATCAATTCAATGAATGGTGATACGAAGGTTTGGAAGCCAACTAGTAATAGGTAGCTTTCGGTAAAAATTGCCTTCAACCATCTTTCCTACTCTCAGCAAGCTACGGCATGGGGTATGACTATATGTAATTTATCAATCTCACCTTTAAAGTCAATTTTGTTTTTGAGATTACTTGAAAATTTGTCAACATATGACAACTTATGTTTGAGGGGTCTCCAAATGTCCTCATGTTGAAATCAATGTCATTGTGATGTGGAGACCCTGCATGGCTTATTTTTTTACCTACAAGTATGCCAAGAATATTTGGAATTGGTTGGCGAGCATGTTGGACAGAGCTCTACCTATTAGTTGTTTCAAGGACTACTGGAAGGTCATGGACAACAGTGGTTCATTGTAGGGAAAATTTGTTATTACCGTTGCTGCGATAAACTCTATTTACTGCATTTTGAATCCTAGAAATATAGCTCGGTTCCAAAACACTTTCAAGCACTAGAGACCTTTTTGTGCATCTAGCTCTGATTTTCATTTCTGCTTCTTTGTTTAATTTGATTGATTATTTCAGGTTTTTATAGATCGGCGTCTGGTTTTATGAACTTGTTGTTGGGATCACTGAAAATTGTGGGCGAGTACTATCCAGGACGGCTATGCAAGGCGTTTGTGATTGACCCTCCATCCCTTTTTGCATACTTGTGGAAGGTAAACTTCTTTACCATTCTTGTGCTTGCTTCGGTTAGTATCCACTTCATTCTTCATTCCAGTATACTCTTTTCTCCTTTCTTCATTCTGCTGTTCATGTTTGCATCTGCATGCTCCATAGAACTTTAAAAGAATTCTAATTACCATGCATCACAGTGCTTGTCCAATTTTCACAATACTGAATATAATATATATTTCAGGTGTCAAATCCTCTATTTGACCTTGCTGGCATCATGTGTGGACAATTTGGCATTCCGTTTTGGAATTTTTTCCTTGCAACTTTGATTGGAAAGACAATTATTAAAACTTATACAGGTAATATATGATATATGTTGTTGTTCTATTGCAGTTCTCGAATTCTTTGTTGTTCTATATACTGCTGTTCCATTAATACATGCTTTAGGGTGGATGAAAGCTGGTATAAGCTGTTGTTTTAGACCTGTAACATTAGTGTTTGGTATAAGCTGCTGTTTAAGAACTACTGCTTAAGGATGTTAGCACTATAGCATTAGTGTTTGTGTAAAATATTGAGAGTTTTTATTTTGGTTGACTGTAATATATTAATAGGTTGTATGTTGCCATCTGCTTGCTGCAGCAAATATGATTAAACTGATAGAGTCGTGAGTCGGTCTCTATGAGTTGCATTATCATCTTTATGTGATGTTTTGGTGGAATGAACATAACTGTAAATGTTTATGTGAAATGCTATAAATTGTGAAGAGTGAATTTGTGAATGTGCTTGATTATGCGCGTATATCTTGTGATGTATCGTGACAAGTTGTGGTGAGAAATATATATTCTGTAATTGTATGTATATATCATTTTATGCATTGTTGGTTATGATAATGTTTCTCACCCTTTTACTGTTTTATAATGCTCTATGAGGCATTGCAGAGTAGGATGCTGAAGGTCTTTTGTGAAGCAAGTTTTCATTTCTTTTGGTCAGATGGCTCTAATATGTAACACTGGGTAGTTAAGGATTTGTTTTGATTCTTTTGTGATACATCTGTGTATGTATCTGCTGCTGAATGTTTGTATACTTAACTAATGTATTGAACTAGTCTGGATGATGTAAACATGTTTATGTTAATGAAGTAATTCAATGTTTAGATGTTTCCGCTTTATTCTAAATATTGATATGTGGGTTTAATAGCTATGTTTTGTTTTTAGTTGAGATTTATCCCTTTTGTTACATATCTTTATGAGCAGGTGTTATTTATGTTTCATTTCATGATAATGTGACACACCTCTTTTATACCGTGTTATATTTATACTCTGATGAAACTTTTTATTAATTGCCTAAGTGATTTTAACTGTTTAATTGGGGGTATATAAAGGGGGTGTTACAATATGTCTCATAAAAGACCACAAAGATTACAAGATAACTTCTCACTTTTCTTATCATGACTTATTTCAAATTTGTAAGAATTTAAACAAATAAATAAGTAAGTTGAAACAAATTGTCTCAAAATTTAAAGAGACTGCATCCTTCCTTGAAATTGAAAATTAAAACCTCATGCAAGAAATGGAATCTCTTAGAAAGAGAAAAAAAATGTTCCAACTCAAGTCTTTCCCACTTCGATGAAGAGTTAGTTGAATCTGATAAGTGTAATCAATGTAGCACTTTGAAAAATGAAAAGATTTACAAACCACGCTTGAAAGATTCACTAAAGAAATAGACAACTAGAATATCCTTCATGAAAATCAAATAGCATCATACAATAATGTCGACTTATGTTATGAACCAGCGAATAATGTTAAGAAATTCGACAAAATTTGCCATGATCATAAAACTTCTAAACTCAAAATCCTTAAATATAATTATTGTATTAAAAATAGCTACATTGATCCCATATTTTTATAGAAAGCATCATGAACATAAAATAAAAAACACGTCTAATGCATTTTTTGTAATTATGATCCTCATGAAAACTCTAAAGGGAATTCATGTCAAACAAACATTAAAGGATCCAAAAATATTTAGGTACCAAATGAATGTTTCATGTCATTAAAGTACACAAATGTAAGATACCAAAACTGAGATAATGTGAGGTGTTTTATTGTTTTTATTAATAACATATGATATATATTTATACAAGTTTCAAATTATTATGAACCACACAAAACTGTCGATACAATCATAACTCTATAAAAGTATTGGCAAAATCTCAACCATTGAAAATTACCACTCATATTTTTTAAGGTCATGGAAAAAATCAAATATTTCCTAGAGTTTTTGAAAAAATCCGGTAAAATACAGAAAATTTTCAAACACCTTATTAATGAAAAAAAGAGAGAAATATTTCTAATATTAAGAAAAATTAGGGGTGTCACTTAAAACTCCATATTAGATTAGAGCTCTGAGCCCAAATCAATAAACCCAACAAGTTTTTCGTACGAAATCCCAAATTGCGAGGATTTTAGTTTTTCCTCCGAACCCTAAAACACGCCGATGGAGTAACCCAGCTGCAACAAACAACCACTGCATCCATTTCTCTTCCCAACGATGAACCATCTTCTCCAAAAGAATCTTATGCTCTTCACCTCTTCACGCTCACCCTTGCAATCTTGCACGCTTCTTGTTCGATTTCAACTTTCTAAATTGTTATCTTCTTCTCCTATTCCGTATTCTCACCGTAAGCGTCACGGCAACAAAGAGTACCGCAATGTTAGAGTCTCAGTGTGGTGGGATTTCGAGACCTGCAACCTGCCTTCTGGTGTTAGCATATCCAAAGTAAAACCCGCTGTCACCAACGCTGTGAGAGCTAATGGAATCAAAGGCCCTGTTCATATTACCGCGTTCGGCGATGTTTGTCAGCTTTCGAGGCCCAATCAGGAGGCACTTCCTTTCAGTGGGATTCATCTTATTCGCTTTCTCAAGATTCCCAAAGGTTCGTTTCAGTTCATTCTTATTATAATTTGTTAGTTTTGCTTTAATATTTAAACCTAGATATTCAATTTCTGTGTATGGCAATAGAAAATAATTAGTAATGCTGCACAGACACTTCAGAAAAAAAGGCTCGTTTGTATCTGTGTCAGGTGTCAGATGCTGCTGTGCTACTGACACACTGACCCTCGTGATTACCTCCCGTTTATTCATTTTTTTCCAAATTATTACTAGTGTTGATGTGTCCGGTGTTGTGTGTCTGTGTTGTGTCCGGGCCTCATAGGTCTCATAGGTCTTAATAATAGAATGGAGTGATGTGTAATTTATCCTCTTTTTTTCCTATGCTACAAGCGGTTATGGCTAATGATGTCACAGTATGTTGTTCATTTCGCTATATGACTTTCTGGAGTGTTTCATTCATCTAAATTTTTGTCTTTTCAAATTATTATGTTGTTAAGTACTTTCTTGCAGTTGGATAGAAAGTTTTATCTTTTCAAATTATAATGTCGAAGTAATTCGTTACAGGTGGAGAGAATAGTGATGATATATCTCGTACTGCTGATTTAATGAATTGGGTTTCAGAAAATCCTCTTATGTATTGGGTTTCACAAAATCCTCCGCCTGCACATCTCTTTCTGATATCTGGTGATAGAGACTTTGCTGGCATATTGCACCTATTGAGAATAAAAATGTATAATATCTTGCTTGCAAGTCCTGGAAATGCTCCTGATGTTCTCTGCAGTGCAGCAACTATGATGTGGCAGTGGACATCTATTCTCAAGGGAGAAGATCTAACTGGAAAACATTTGAACCATCCTCCCGATGGTCAGTTTGGTTCTTGGTATGGAAACTCTAAAGTGCCTCTTGAAAACCCCTTTTGGACATCTATTCTCAAGGGAGAAGATCTAACTGGAAAACATTTCAACCATCCTCCCGATGGTCAGTTTGGTTCTTGGTATGGAAACTCTAAAGTGCCTCTTGAAAACCCCTTTTCAGTTGAAAACCCCTTTTCAGCTGCTGAGGAGTCAACATCTTCACAAAATATACACGTTACGGAAATCAATGAACCCTCCTCAGACTTAAAGGTAGGTGTAGGACTTAAAGTGAGATCTATGAAGTTTTCTGATGATGAAATTGTTAGGTCTACGGACATAAGTCCAAAAGTTCGTGAAAAATATACCACTTTAGGGAAACTCTTGGCTGGTACTGATCACACAAACAAACACGAGGATCAACCTAGAAAGGAGGTTGATGATCACAGCCCATATTCTTCAGCAGTTGATGACTCTTTGGTTGACAAAAGACCCGATGTTCATCCTGAGACTTACAGCAAAAGATCAACTTTCTTTAGCTGGATTAAAAGTTGGTGGCCATTTCAGAAAAGCAATGTAAAGGCTGATGATTCCACTTTTTATCAGAAAAAGGTGACTAGGTTGAAGAACCCAAGCCATTAGAACAACAGCACTATGTCAGTCATTCTGGAAAGCATGAGGGTTCCAAGTTACCTGGTTCCTTTTGGAATGACATGGAATCTTTTGTTTTCACCCCCAAAGGATCACTTCTTATTTCCCAGTCTAGAAGCAGGTCTGTGTGATATTTTTCCTTTTTCTGTGTTATTTCGTTCCTTGTTCTAATCTGAGCCCGACTGCTGAAGAAAAAAATGCAATACATCTATTGTATCATATAGTTTCTTAAAAGATTATTATTTGGCTAATTTTTAACAGATTAACTTAGTAATGTTTTGTATCAGGGAGGATTTGGCTCATAAACTACAAAAGCATGGACCCATGACTCTCAAGTCTTTTGCTGAAAATGATATCTTTCAATTGGTGGAACTGTTGATAGCAGAAAAAAAATGGTTGGAGGAGAGCCCCTCACAAGCATTTCCTTTTAGGCTAACTCAATCAGTTTGGAAAAGCACGCGGATGGGCCAATGCAGCTTAAACCATAGTACTGATTAATTAGCCTCCAAATTTCAACTTGAAATTCTTTATGTTTGATCATTTATTTATTATGGCTAGAGGAACATTTGAGCATGGTATATACATGGCTTATGAGCAATGTTATGTTTTACCTGCAGTCAATAATATCTCGTTTTTTTATGTATAAAAAGTGCACTCTCCTTTTTAGGAGCCTTCGTTTTTAAGATTGAAGTATGCTATGTTATGTTTTTTCATTTAGAAGCTTTCGTTTTTAAGATTGAAGTATGCTATGTTGCTTTTGTGAAATTGAGAACTTGACCTCTAGTTGTGTTATGCAGTGAAGTTGAATTTTTCAGCCTCATTTAAAAATTGAAAGACAATGAATTTCTCATTAATATCAATATGGAGATTAAAAGTATGTTCAAGTCTTGTGTATTATTAAATTGAAAGACAAATGATACGTTTAAAAAAAAATTAATTTCATTAAAACATTGTATGATTAGTTAAAATATTTAACAGGGAGTATTATAGTCATTTTGATTATTTTTAATTAAAATTGGTATTTGTTACAAATCGCACACATTTTAAATATCTCACTAAAAAAACAGGATGCATTAAAAATTAATCCTCCTAAATTGAAAAGAAGATAAAAACTAGATGAAATAACTATGAAATAACCTTCTATGCATAGTACATCTCAAAACAATACTAGGAATGCTATTCTCTTTTATCTAGGTTTAAAGCAATGTTAGAGAAAAAGTCATTTCATTCCTAGCTTTCCAAAATGCTATATATACAGAGTTTCCGCGACACAACAATTTTCAAAACTTGTATTTTCCAACCTTTCTTCTTGGTTTCTTGAATAAGCCACTTCTTCTAATTAATCCAACCTGTATGGTTTCTTGAATAAGCCACTTCTTCTAATTAATCCAACCTGTATGGTTTCTAACACCACCACATTAATCACCTTACTCAATCTTGTGGCTAAAATCTTTGATGTGATTTTGTACTAAGTAGTGCAACATGCTATAGGTCTCACATCCTTCATGATTCTTGCATCAGAATTTTTAGGAATTGGAGTTACCAAGGCACAATTCACTGCAGTTTTTTTTATAAGCATAATTGTATTAAGGGAGGAGATTAAAAGGATCTCCAATGCTGTCGAAGATTGAGATCCCAAAGTAACAATATGATTATAGTAAGATTTGACAGAAAAAACACAAGATTTCTCCAACTGCCAGATCCAACTATCATCATTGGCAGAATTTGGAGAGATTGAAACCAACAGCATTTCAAGATCCTGTAGCTCCTGCAACGCCTCGCCGACAGCTTCTGCGTGTAACGATCTAGTATGCCATCTCCACCTTCCATCCTCCCAAGCTCCCATATCAGAAATATACCAAAGCTTTGTATGCGTTAATGCAAAGAGGTTTGGGAACAGAGTTGTGAATTCATTACTTCCAAGCCATTTGCATTTCCAGAACAGAATGATGGTTTTACCATGCTTTGCTGACACAAGATTGCTGAAGCTGCTATCCCTCATCCAAAATGAATCATTTCTTCCCATACTCCCTGCATCTTCATGTAATATCAGATTCGGTAAACTGCCATATCTGAAAGTATGGATATTTCTCCATAATTCGTTGCCATTTTGTAAGAACTTCCACAACCATTTCAATATGTTTGATCCCTAAACCCTCTCTGTTTCTTTTCTTTACACAAGGATCTCCAACTAATCCACGATATGCCGCGATTTTCCACTAAACCAGGCCATAGAAACTGTCTATGAATGCCTATAATTACTTTAGCTACCTGTTTTGGTAATTTGAAGAAAGACCGATGATGAACAGGTAAGTTTGCTAGAACAGAATTCAGTAATGTCACTCTCCCAGCGATGGATAACTTCCTACCAATCCAAGAAGATAGCCTGGCCCTGAAACAATTGATAATCGGTTGCCAAAATTTTACTATTCTTTGATTACCCCTTACCATGAGCCCAAAAAACTTGAAATGCATAGTTCCTGATTTGCAGAATAAGAATTGTTCTGCAGCCAACATGAACTCGGATTCAATACCAACTTCGTATAGACAAATTTTTGCAAAGTTTATCTTGAGGCTTGAAACCAGTTCGAGTCCCCTTAGTATAGACTTGATTGCCCACAAGTTTGAGAAGAAGTGTGTGATCAGCAAACATATTATCTGCCACTTTGAAACCCGTAAACAAATTCAACTCAATAGCCCTCTTGACCAAGGTTGCGAATCCTTCAACCATAAATGCAAATAACATTGGTGATAAAGGGTCCCCCTGTTTCAGTCCACGTGAAGCCTTGAAATCCTTGGATGGGCTTCCATTTATTAAAACAGACATGAAACCATGCTGCACAGCTCCTCTAATCATCTCCTCCAATTGATTCCAAAATTCATGGCTTGCATCATGTTTTCTAGAAACTCACATTCAACACAATCAAAAGCCTGTGCAAAATCGACTTTAAATAGCAAACACTTTTTCCTGCCTCGTTTTGCAAGGTCCATACATTCATTAGCAACAACTACTCCATCAAATAGGTTTTGACCTGGTATGAAAGTTGTTTGAGAAGGTGATATCAGTTTTTCAATGAGTTTGTTCAACCTCTTTGCCAGCATTTTAGACACCATTTTTAGGATGCAGCCAATTAAGCTATTTGGTCGATAAGTGGGTTCTCCTCCTTTGGTATCAAGGAGACGAAAGAAGAAGCAAATGTCTTTGGTAATGATGCAGTGGTAAAGAATTCTAGCACAACATTAGATACATCATCACCTACTATATCCCAATAAAGTTTCAAGAATTTGAAGTTGAATCCATCCACACCTGGCCATTTGTTACTATCGTACTCCAGGACAGCTTCATGAACCTCTTGTTTGGTGAACATTGCTTCTTACATCTTCTTGTCTGCAATATGAAGTTTGTTCACATCTTCCAGGTTCATTTTTGGCCTCCTCGACTGCTCTCTTTGGAATTTCTTCTTAAAAAACTGCATAGCGCAATCTTTAATACGCGCAGGATCTTCCAGCTCAGATTCACCCCATTTGATCACTGATATAGAATTTCTCCTAATACGAGAAACTAAAGAAGCGTGGAAGAATCAGGTATTTAAGTCACCTTCCAAGGTCCACTTAACCCTTGATATTTGGTGAATCATACTCTCCTTAGTTCTAAGAGTACGCCAAACCTCTTAACCCTTGCCTTCTCAGCACTCCTTTTCTTGATAAAGTTTTCTTTAAGCTTTGCTTCCATGTCCCTTATAATACCTTCAAATACTTCCTCATCTTCATCCCCTTCTATACCAAGTTATTTTATTGTATGTCAGACCTTCAATGGAACATCATCATAACCCTTTTTACATCTTAGATTGCTTTGAACCACATTTGTATCTATCAAAGAATCACAGCATAATACACATCCACCTGAGTATCTTGAAGATGCATCTACCTCCGGTGTGTCATTAATTGTTATATTCAACCGTGAATCTGTTTCACCTTGACCTTTAATTTCCCCAGATGAGTTGTACAGAAGTGTAGAATAGTAAGATGCTGAAAATGGAATAGTTCCAACCATGCCTGAAATCAATTTGAATAGTCTAATATCCCACCCATAACAGGGTAGGCCATAACATTTCAACCACGTAAGTCACTTATTATCGACATCATTAGGGCTCCATGGTCTAATATCGCAGAACCATTTCTCAATCCATCCTCGAGCTTGTTCTATGATTGAGAATAGTTCATATTCCTTGCTTTCCTCGAGTAAACACAGGTTAAGACCTAGAGGAGTGGCTTTCACGTTGAAAAAACCTTCCTCATTCAAAGCTTGTTGGATGCTATATGTATTTCCTGATGTTAAAACCTTCCCCACATATGCTTTATCAAACCTTAGCATTTCACACTTTTCAACATTGAACTGGATGTGCGCAAACATAGTTTTTGATATGCTTCTGCTTGTTATCCATCAACGGCGGTTTTTTACTGACCACCTGAGCGTATGATTTACCAATCGGCAAAGTTTTACTTCTATTCTTCGTTTGGTAGTTGACAGACTTGGCTTGTTTATCTCTATGCACACAAACCTCCCTTATGGCCTCCTTGATCATTCTGCCTCTGTTATCTTTCCATACTGAGAATTTTAGCTGCCTATCACCATTGGTTTTTCTCCTCTTTCCAACCACATTTCACTCCATGTTCTTGTTCACTCAAGTTTCAGTATTCAACACTTGAACAACCTTACTCCCTAGCTTCAAGCCTTGAAAGCTACAATTAATATGACTAGTGGTTCAAAGACAAGTTTGAATCAATCTCACAGAAAACAAGGTCCCTAATCCTAAAATTAAGACTCTAAACCAAAATCCCCAAACCTAACTCATTCTTGTTTTGTATATCTAAAAAATTTAACCTCTCTATATTCCAATGATCTTGAAAACGAACAATATCTTATTGTAGATGAAAAAAATTCTGCACTGCTTCCTTTACATCACCACCAATAATATTTCATATTATTTCAACTATTGAATTAGTATTTCAATTATTGAATATTTTAATTATTAATATTTTAACTATTTAGTTTATTACATATTTTAATTATTTAATATTTCAAATATTTATTTTGTTAAATATTTCAATTATTTATTTTTGAGGTTGTCTTTTTGGGTTGTTTTAGTTCAACTTAAATGCTTTGTAATGGAATAGTACTATCCTATTTTGATAGAGAGAAAGAGGTTTAATTAATTGTAGCATTAGCTTGTTTTTATTCTGCATGATTGAATTAAATGCAATTCTGAAATCAAAAAGGGGTCAATTGCAATAAGGCAAATGTATTCTTAATCATCAACTATAAGTTATCATATAATTATCAATCATCAGCTATAAACTAGTTTATCGGTCAGCTATTTTTATCAGAGAGAAATAATACAATTTTTCAGATTATTATACTATAATGGTACAACCAATTGAATTTGATCCTACATAGTTACACCAGTGACCAGCTTTGAGAAAGCCATCTTGCCTCC